GTGCCTTTGAGTTGGTATTCTTCTCCTTCTTCTATCCCTATTATTCTTAGGTTTGGTCTTTTCATGGTGTCCCAAATTTTTTGGATGTTTTGTGTTACAACTTTTTTGTCTTTAGTGTTTTCTTTGACTGACGAAGCTATTTTCTCTATTGTGTCTTCTGTGTCAGAGATTCTGTGTTCCATCTCTTGCATTCGGTTGGTTATGCTTGTTTCTGTAGTTTCTGTTCATTTAGTCAGGATTTCTATTTCCAGCATTCCCTCAGCTTGTGTTTTCTTTATGGTCTCAATTTCATTTTTCAGATCTTGGAATGTTTCTTTCATCTGTTTAATTTCTTTTTTTTGACTTTCTTTGATTTCTTCCAATTTTTTGCTTGTTTTTTCTTCCATTTCTTTAATGGAGTTTTTCATTTCCTCTTTAAGGGAATGTTTTATTTCCTCTTTAAGGGAATTTTTTTATTTCTTCTTTAAGGGCCTCTATTATCTTCTTAAAGTCATTTTTAGGATTGATTTCTTCTGTTTCTTCTGCCTTGGTATGTTCAGGTCTTGCAGGTGTAGTAGAATCACTAGGTTCTGATGTTGTCATATAGGTCTTTATGTTGTTGCCTGTATTTTTGCACTGACGTCTACTCATCTCTTTCTCTGCTCGGTGCAGGCAGTGTCTGTGTCTGAAAGTGCCTCTCTTGTTCTAATTTTTAGTCTTGGTTCACTAGGAGTTCTTGGTTTAATTGGTGTTGTTGGGCTGTTTCTTTGGGAGCAGCTTAGTCAATTCAGTGTTAATGGGTTCTGTCTCTGGGAGCAGTTGTTCCCAGTTGGTGCCAAGTGTGCTTATGGTTTCAGTGGTTGTTAGGCTCGTAGGGGTCAGGTTTTTTTTTTTTTTTGCTCGGGGAACAGGGAAAGGTAGCTGTCTGGTCTCTGGGACTCTGATGGGTAGGGCCTAGGGGCTAGAGACCTGATCTGTTGGTCAGGAGATGGGAGCTTACCTGTTCTCAGTCAGTGAAGTATATACCTACGATTCTGGTGATCTGGTTCGGTGGCTGGGTGGCGCCTTCTTTGTGTTTTCAGGTCATGTTTTGCTCATTCGCCAACTGCTCAGCTGATCTTGTTTCTTCAGACTTCAAACTGTAGGGATCTGAATCCTCTCCCGGATGGATTTCAGCTGAGCAGGGTAGTCTCACCAACACCTCCACGTTGTTGGGTTTTGCAGGATCAGCAGCTGGGTCCTGTGTTGGCCTCAGACAGAGTGTTCAGATCCGTTCTGGTTCCATCCCACGGAGATGGCTCCTTCCCCGGGTGTTGGGATTAAAGGCGACCCTTTTCCAAGCTCTTGGTTAAGAGCTTGTTTTCACTAGCTCTTCAGCGGGTAATGGCTCAGTTTCCGGTCTTTACTGCAACTGTGTTTCGGCCGCTGACCGCCGCTGCGCCTGCCTGCCTCTGTTTGTTTGTTTGTTTGTTTTCAAATATCCAGCTATAATCCATGGTGGTCTGATAGGATACAAGGACTTATTTCAGTTATCTTGTATCTGTTGACTTGAATTGTGTCCAAGTGTGTCTTCATCCTTGGAGAAAATACCATGTCGTATTGAGAAGAAAGTGTATTCTTTTTCTTTGGGTGGAATGTTCTGCAATATCTGTTAGGTTCACTTGCCTTATAAATTCTGTTAGCTCCAATATTTCTCCATTTGGTTTTCATCTGAAAAGCCTGTCCATTGGTGAAGATGGGGTATTGAACTCTACCACTATTGAACACTGTGTGAGAGTCGATGTGTCATTTAATCTGTAGAAGTATTTCGTTTACAAATATAAGTGACCTTGTATTTGGGACATAGATATTAATAATTGAAATATCATATTGGTGGAGTTTTCCTTTGATGAATTATGAGTGTTCTTCCCCATCTCTTTTGATTAATTTTTGTTTGAAGTCTATTTTTGTAGATAATAAAATGGCTACAGAGCCTGCTTCTTAGTTCCAATTGCTTTAAATGTGTTTTTCCTAGCCTGCGCCTTTTGGTAATCTTCATCCTTGACGTTGAAGTATGTTTCTTGTATGCAGTGGAAGGAAGGATATTGTTTTTGAATCCATAGTGTTAATTTGTGTCTTCATTGGGGAATTATGGCCATTGATATTGAGAGATATCAGGAATAATGATTATTAATTCCTGTTATTTTGTTCTTGTTATTAGTGTGGTGGTGGTATGTGTATGAGAGTATGTTTGTGTGTATGTGTTTCCCTTCTTTTGGTTTTACTGATGTGATATTATTTATTTACTGTGTTTTCATGTGTGTAGTTAGCTTCCTTGGGTTGGATTATTCCTTCTAGTACCTCTGTAGGGCTGGATTTGTATGTAGATACTATTTGAATTTGACTTTATCATGGAATATCTTATTTTCCCCATTTATGGTGATTGAAATTTTTCTGGATATAGTAATCTGGACTGGCATCTGTGGTTACATGTGTCCAATCCTTTATGGCTTTTAGAATCTCCATTGAGAAGTGAGGTGTAATTCTCACAGGTCTGCCTTTATATGTTACTTAGTCTTTTTCCTTTGCAGCTTTTAATATTCTTTCTTTTCTGTATGTTTAGTGATTTGACTACTATGTGACAAGGGGACTTTCTTTTCTGGCCTAATTCTATGCCTCAGTTAACGGAGGGATTAGGCAAAGTGATTTCCAGTCCCAGGAAGCAACTTCATACAAAGTCTGCTGCAATTCTGGTCCAAGCATGACAGGAGTCATTCACATCTTAGAAGCCAAATTTGGGGGAATCATTGATGTTGAACAGGTTCTGGAAACCAGAATGATGCAGAATTTAAAATCATTCATTCTTAGTCTATGTTTTCAGTCCAGCATTGTTGTAGGCATCTGTGTTTGGTATGGTAAGAGCTCCAGTGAGGAGACTGAGAGTTTATTGCATGATGCTATGAGGATGAAGCCTGGGTTGTATTTTGAGAACATAAGATGCTGAGATACTTAAGCTATGAGACATCTTCCATGGAAAGCTGCATTTATGGAGTAGAAGTAACCAAAGAGAAAGATGTATGGGAAATTGTGGGGAGAGAACCATCTAAGCCCTTTGAAAATGAAGCCCCAAGTGTCTGACACATAACTACTAGATTTGATGGTTGCCCTGCTGGGTTTCAGTTTTCCCTTTGTCCAATCTTTCTTTACTATGTCTCAATTCCTCTCCTTTGGAATGGGAATGGATTTTTTGTGCTGTTTGTGTGTTGGAAAGATTTAACTTGTTTTCTGATTTTATAAAATAACACAGTGAAAAATTTGTCTTGAGTGTCAAAAGGTGCTTTGGACATTTGGACAGTGTAGGGGGCTGTTGCAGACTATGAGGATCATTGAGGTGACTAAGTACATTTTCTACATTGATGATCATGAGCCTGTAGTAACCTGGGTCAGAATGTAGTTGACTGAATGAAAAGTTCCCAGATAGGATGAGGTATTTGAACATTTGTCTCTCCTTGGCATCTTATTTGGGGTGCTTGTGGATCCTTTAGTAGGAGGAATCTCTCTGGAAGAAATTTCTCACTGGGGGGTGTGATATGTGTCTCTATAGCCTTAACCCATTTCCTTTTCTATGTTTCTACTATGTTGTAGTTGAAACAAATCAGCCAGCTTCCTTCTTATGCTGTCTTGACTTCACCACCATTATAGATGGTATCACTAAATCACATAAGATACAATTGAAGGAATTGATATCCAATGCTAAGCCATTTTGCTAGCCTGATTTTTTAAAATTTTGTCTTTTTATTTTTGTTTCTAACAAGACAATCTTTGGCTGAGTAATTCTGTCCAAAAAAGTGGCTCTGTAGACCAGACTGGCCTTGAACTCAGAGATTCACCTGAATCCTTATCCCATATACTGAGATTAAAGGTTGATCCACATTCCAGGTTTTTTCATATCTATTATTGGGTGGTGGGTCTAGAGTATATGTTTTAGTCCATGTCAAGCATATGCTGTTTTACTCAGCTTTACCTCCAGCTTGAATTTTGAAATTAGAATATCATTCTCTTTCCCAGGATGCAGTATTCATGACATTAATACTGCCTGGGCCTTCTGAGTTATTAGATTACAGGTGTATGACATTCTTCCTGCTTGTTGTGTTTGTTTTGATTTTTTTTATGAATGATTCTTTTGCCCTGTATACATGGATATGTACCACACATATGCATGGTCCTCACAGTAGTCAAAAGATGGTCTTAGAACCCATGAACTTGGTATATGAACAGTTGTGTGATTCTGCCATGTGAGTACTGGCAATTGAGCCCATCTATATACAAGACCAGCAAGAGCCCTTAACTTCTCTGCCATCTCTCCTGCCCTGTGTTGATTATTTATAATCAATGGTGATATTGCTAATGTTATCATCTGTCTGTGTAACTTTTTAAATGCACAGTTCCCTTTAGTAAGATTTATTAAAGTACAACTTAAACTGGAGCAATTCAGGTTTCTGGAAGATGAATACAGAACTGAAGTTAATATCTGAGTTCATCCTATCTTTTTTGTTTGTTTGATTGATGTTTGCAGTACAGACAGGTTCTTAATATTTGCTACTTATTGTCCTGAACTGAATGTATAGACTAGGCTAGCTTTCAACTCAGAAGCACATATTCCTGCTTCTGCCTTCTGAGTGCTGGGATTAAATGCATGAGCCAATACACTCAGCTTACTCATCTTTTTTGTAGTTAGTAATTGTTCATACAATTTCTCTGATATGTCCTCAGTACTGTTGATATGTTTGCTTGTCTCTATGTTTGCTAATAGGCATTTCTCTTGCAAGATATTAGCCTATTAAAAGCATTCAGAAATAATAGAAGTAAACCTCCTATTTCAGTTTCCTTCTAAAGTAACTTGATGATTATATTGTAATCTCTGAGTTATAGAATAAATGTAGAAAGCACCAGATTTATGTGACTATTGTCAAAGAAGTATACATTTACAATGTTGTGAGTATCATGCTTTTTGTTTTAGACTTATGTATGGCATATTTTAGGATGCAGTGACGTATAATGATGTGCATGTCGACTTCACTCAGGAGGAGTGGGCATTGCTGGATCCTTCACAGAAGAATCTCTACAACAATGTGATGCTGGAGACCTATATGAACCTCAGTGCTATAGGTAATACTGTAAAATTTTCCTTCACATTTTAAAATAAGGGGACAACTATTTCTTGGCTATTGATGCTCTTCTGTAATTCTGATTGAGAAAGAGAAAGAATGAGGTGAATAAATTAGGCATGGTTCTAAGGATCACTGAAGATAGTAACTGAAATTTTGCACAGTTTCTAGTAATATTTCATACATTTCCTCATACTATATTTTAGGCTACACTTGGGAAGATCATAAAGTTGAAGAACATTGTCAAAGTTCTCAAAGACATGGAAGGTAATTTTCATGTGCAAGCTGATACAAATGTGCCTCTGGATGTATTTTAATGTATCTGGAAGTTTTAAAGAAATACAGCAGTGTAAATGATCATAGCTTAAAGTGAATTAATGATCATTAAATACTCACAACCCATATACCTCAAAGGCAGGTAAGTGAATTGTATTTGAAAGTCATTCTCTTTAGAAGGAAGTCAAGCCTTAAGAGATATCAGCATTTGAATCATAGCTCCATCAGAGCTATGCTGTAGAACTGCCAATCCATCTAATTTCATACCACTCATATTACAAAAGATATACACATTGAGTATATGATAAGTGTATGTCCAAAACCTTCTAATAGTCCATAATAAAGCTAGTGTTACTCATATAGTTGTTCTGTCTCTGCTAAGATCAGTGAGATGGGTAGTTAGAATCAAGAGTTAAGGGGAGGTTGTTGTCAAGAAACCTTAAACCCTATACCACATATCTGTGAGAAACAAAAAGTTAAGCTGCGTGGAGGCAATGTAGAAACCTTTTATTTGTTATTCTTCCTTTGGTACATATCTCATATGTCACTCTAGATACAAGCCATATGAACATAGGGATATGGAAAGAAGCAATGTATCCTTCTCCATCTCAGACCAATTAGAAGATAGGTAGTAGCCCCATGTTGAGTAGACTTCTTGAATGTGATTTAAATTTAAAAGTAATTAGTTTTCCAACTTCATTGGAGATATGTCAACAAACACACTGAAGAAAAGCACTAGGAATGTGTAAATACTTCTATTTGTCCCTGTTCACTTTGCAAATGTAGTGGGATTCACAGTATAGGAAAACCTATCAATGAAATTAAGGGGGTAAAATTCTGAATTCTTCCAGTTCTCTACAAATATATTAAAAGCGTCATAGAGAAAAAAAAGCCATAAGTGTGAGCCATGTAATCAAGACTCATATCATCACAGTTATCTTCAAAAAAGAAAAATAATCCTTAATTTTTTGGGGGGAATAACATGAGTGTAAGCAAAGTGATAAAACTTTAAGATCTGACTTCTTTTTTACACTTACACCAAACTGTAAAATTAATTCATACAGAAATAAAAGTTTAACAGTGTAATGAATGTGGTAAAGCTTTCACATTTGCAAATTATTCTTGCAGGCATGAAAGAAGTTATACAGGAGACCAATCTTCTGAATGGACTCTATGTGTTAATGCATTTGCATATCAGAGTCATTTTCAAAGGCCTGAAAGAATTCATACTGGAAAGAAACTCTATGAAGGTATTCATTATAGTGAAGACTTTGCATGTCATAGTAGTCTCCAAATACATCAAGGAATGCATACTAGAGGGAAACCATATGAATGTAAGCAATGTGGTAAAGCCTTTGCTCGTCCCAGTCATCTTCAAATGCATGAAAGAACACATACTGGAGAGAAACCCTATGAATGTAATCAGTGTGGTAAAGCCTTTGCACAACATAGTCATCTTCGAATGCATGAAAGAATACATACTGGAGAGAAGCCCTATGAATGTGATCAGTGTGGTAAAGCCTTTGCTTGTCACAGTTCTCTTCAATTGCATAAAAGAGGACATACTGGTGAGAAACCCTATGAATGTAATCACTGTGGTAAAGCCTTTCCTCGTCTTGGTGATCTTAAATTGCATAAGAGAATACATACTGGAGAGAGACCCTATGAATGTAATCAATGTGGTAAAGCCTTTGTGCAATACAGTCATCTTCGAATGCATGAAAGAACACATACTGGAGAGAAACCTTATGAATGTCATCAATGTGGTAAAGCCTTTCCCCGTTATAGTCATCTTCAAAGACATGAAAGAATGCATACTGGAGAGAAGCCCTATGAATGTAATCAATGTGGTAAAGCCTTTGTTTGTCTTGGTGATCTTCAATTGCATAAAAGAACACATACTGGAGAAAAACCCTATAAATGTAATCAATGTGGTAAAGCCTTTGCACAACACAGTCATCTTCAAAGGCATAAAAGAATACATACTGGAGAGAAACCCTATGTATGTAATCAGTGTTGTAAAGCCTTTTCATGTCATAGTGATCTTCAAAGACATGTAAGAACACATACTGGAGAGAAGCCCTATGAATGTAATCAATGTGGTAAAGCCTTTCCTCGTCTTAGTAATCTTCAATTGCATAAAATAACACATACTGGAGAGAAACCCTATGCATGTAATCAATGTGGTAAAACCTTTGCCCATCACAGTTATCGTCAAAAACATGAAAGAAGACATTCTGGAGAGAAACCCTATGAATGCAATCAGTGTGGTAAAGCCTTTGCCCATCACAACCATCTTCAAAGACATGGAAGAATGCATACTGGAGAGAAGCCCTATGAATGTAATCAATGTGGTAATGTCTTTGCTTGTCTTGGTGATCTTCAATTGCATAAAAGAACACATACTGGAGAGAAACCCTATGAATGCAATCAGTGTGGTAAAGCCTTTGTCTGTCACAGTCAACTTCAAAGACATGGAAGAATGCATACTGGAGAGGAAGGCTATGAATGTAATCAATGTGGTAGAGCCTTTGCCCGTCATAGTGATCTACAAAGACATGAAAGAATACATAGTGGAGAGAAACCCTATGAATGTAATCAGTGTAGTAAAGCCTTTGTCCATCATAGTGATCTTCAAAGACATGAAAGAACACATACTGGAGAGAAGCCCTATGAATGTAATCAATGTGGTAAAGCCTTTCCTCGCCTTAGTAGCCTTCAATTGCATAGAAGAACACATACTGGAGAGAAACCATATGGATGTAATCAGTGTGGTAAAGCTTATTCACAACACAGTCATCTGAAAATACATAAAAAAACACATGCTGGAGAGGAACCCTATAAGAGTAATACTATTAGTGTGGAATTGGTTTGTTAAAGCCTGTGAATATAACAGACTTTGAGGATCTGAAAAACTACATACCAAAGAAAATCTGATAATAAAGGATTTGGCAAGATCTTCAGCCAGCACATTTACATTCAATTACACAAGATTATTCTTGAGAAAAAAATCTCACAGGTGTCAGCAATCTGTTCAAGCATTATAGTGTCCCTCTGTATTTGGTTTTTAGATTTCATACTTCTCTTCAATTACATAAGATAATAAATCCAGGTATAATAGTGCCTTTTCTATTGCTGTGATATAATATAATGTCAATGTGAACTTATGAAAGTGTTTAATTTAATTTGGCTCGTGGTTCCAGAGCAATACAGAATCACCATGAAAGTGGCATTGAAACAAGTGTCAGACATAGCAGCTAAAGTAGGAAGCTAAGAATTCACATCCTTAATCTGCAGCATAAAGCATAAAGTGTAAATGGGAAATGGTAGGCAGATATAAACTCAGGACAACCCCCAGTGACATATTTCTTCCAGCATGACAGCATTTCCTAAATCTTCCCAGATGATAACACAGTCTAAGAATAATTGATTTTTCTGACTTTAGGTCTACATGCTTGTTTTCTGTTACACAAAACAATTAGTGATGGAGAAAAACTCTGTAAGCCTTCAGATGCCTCAATACCTATGATACAGGAATTACAAGAGATAAACATTCATGAGTGAATATTAATTTAAATATTTGTTTTAATTTCAGTTATGCAATGTCAGTATCTTTGTGTGGGTAGATACATGTGCATTCTGGTTCTCAAAAAGATTAGACCCTTGGAGCTTTTCATAGCAGGAATTACTGGAAGTTGTCAAAAACCTGACCTAAGTCCTCGGAATGGACTTGTATTAAGGACTTGGCCATGTCTCTAGCCCTGTAAATATTCTAAAGCTTTTTTATATCATCTTGATATCAGAAAACAGGAAGGAACTCATACAAAAGAAAAACTCTGTGTACATAAATAATTTGGTAAAAACTTTAGACATCACAATTGTCTTCAGGTTCAAGAAAAGAAACTTTTTCATCACAGCCTTGACATAGGTAAATTATTAACAAATTTCACTAAAGACATTGTGGCTTCTATTTTGCACCATTTGAGGTAGATATTCTATTGTACTCTTTGTGTAGCAGATTCATTCATTGAAGTTTATTTTGTGTTCCTTATATTCCTTCTGTGGCTTTTGTTCATCTTCTATTGTGCTTTCAATTAGTGAGAGATATTTTTCTGCTACAGTGTATAAAATGGGATGGCCATCATCTAAGTGGTACATCTTTATTTAAATATTAGGCAGTATGTGATCATATTTTCCAGCAAGTATGTCTGTGAAACGGTGATGGGTTTCTATTCCTGGTTTTATTTTTTCATATTTTTTTCACAAATTCCCTTGAAATGTTTTTTGTTATCCAGCCCCACTTGGATGGTAGTAATTAGTCAAACATCAAATTGAAGTCATGATCCTCATGTGTGAATCTCCAGAGTACAAGTGTAAGGGTAGATAATGTACTCCCAATGTTTGCTGTTTTGTCCACACGTATTCAGAATGTTAATGTTAAAATGATTAAAAATAGATGAGAATATAAGAAACATTGAATTTCTCATGTATATCCAAAGTAACATTTTCATCTATGTGGAAGTGATGTAATAAAGTAGGATAATCAGCAATCAACTGTATATTTCACAATATAACTTGATGTACTATGGATATGTATATTTTATTTGAAGTTCCATACATCTTCATGTCCTCATAGTTATCCATTTGGCATAATATATTGAAGCATTGCCTTCTAAGGAAATTATCCAGAGATGCCAGGTAATGTAATGGCAATGGGATTTATTTTTTTAAAAAATTCTGTTGTATATATGGGATGTTTTAGGCCATGACAGATGTGTGGAGAAAAGAAGACAACTTTATGGTTTTGTTCAACTTCATATGGCGATCAAGATGAGATTACAGCCTTGTACACGGCAGACATTTCCAGCAGAGCTGTCTCATTGATGCTCAAATAAGATTAGTTGAAACATTACATCAGTAAAATATTGTCTTTTTGGATTGTGGAAATATTTTCATTGAAGCATAATGAAAAACAGGAGAAATTGAATAATAAATCCTATATCCAAATGAAGATGATATACTGCTATCTCTTTTGTTTTCTTTTTCCTTTTTGTGTATGGAATGTGTTAGTTTATTATGAGGACTAAACACTAGTTCATAACACTTTCTCAGAACCACAAATGAATGCCAGAGAATAGTTTCCATGAGTGACGTTGGTTGCTGCTAAGCCCCATGATCTGAGTTTAACCTCAAAGAAACCTGTATCACTCCTACAAATTTTTCTCTTATATCTACACTTATATTGTGGCATATGCACACTCCCACACTAGCACATACATACATAATTAAAAAACACAAATTAGTGTCATTGAGGTCACTTGCAGCTGAATGATTCCCCTACTTTTATTTCTAGAACTTACATAGGATAAGTAGGTAATAGACACCAAAAGTTGTCCTCTCATTGCCATATACACATTCTTGTATATTATTAAAAGGACCAGCCTTAATAATATATTTCCCAGGGGCTCAGAAGAGAAAGTACGAATGGTGAGAACTAATTTTGGGAAATGAATCTAAGTACACCATGCTTTTTGTCCATCTACTTTATTCCTCTGAGATAAAATCCTATATGCATAGCTTCAGTTCTGTTCTCATGCCTAGCCCCATTCTTGCCTGATTTCTCTCTATATTTATCTACTGTTCTAAGTTCTATCTTAATTCTCTCATCTTAATTCTTCCTCATCTAGTTCCTTTTGATCTCATTCTTACCCAGCTAGTACTTCCTCATCTGGCCTTTCCTTGTCCTCCATCTTGTCCACATGTTCTCTCTGGTTGAAATCCTTATCCATCTGTGGGGTGTTTACCCACCAATCCCACAGCTCCCCAGAGTTTTCTTGAGTGTGAGCAGCAGGAAATATTAGATAGAAGGATTGATTGCAGAGAATATTGTGGAGATAAACAGATAGAAAATAAAGGATAGCCTCGAGAGGGGCTGGAACCAATGGGCCCTGAGTGTTTTTGCCTCAGGGTATTTATAGAGACGCCAAGGGGTGGAGCAAAAGATCTCTCCCCCCACCCCCAGCACAGCCAATTGCAGACCATCTCAGACACCTGCACTCCAGCCCATGGTCCTAATCATCCTCTATGCAGACCTGATGGGTAAAGTCATGAGGAACCTGAAAATGGGCTCCCACATCTCTCAGTTTTCCATCCTCAACTTTATGCCTCAGTCCTCTCAAGTCTCTGAGGTGTTCAGGTATAATTGCAAGCAATAGTGATCCTCTGCCAGAGCAAGATCATCAGGCTTGAATTCTTACAGGGTCCTAAAGACAGGTAAGAATTTTCCTCAGGCAATGACCATCAGGCTTTGTTTTACAATCCAAAATAGGAGTGGTAAAAGAGGAGGTCAACTGAGTGCTAGTGATGGGTTAGCATATCAAAAAGGGGATCTATGTGCTCAGTCTACATTCCTAGAAGTGGTTAAGTAAGAAGTTAGGGGTCTATTTGTAAGGTTGTATAAGAAAGGAGGGTCTCAGCCTAAATTACACAAGAAACAAACTATCCACCTGGCCTAGGAGACAGGTGTTGTTTCATTTGGCCTTGGATGCTTGATAGGTACTTTAGGTAAATATGCTGTTAGGAGTTCTTGGGAGCACACAAGAAAATCATTTTAGGAACCAGCTAATATATATACAAAAGCAAAATATCACCAAGACTTTGTTTTGTTTTTTTTGTTTTTTTTTGTTTTTGGTTCTGGGTTTGGCTTTTCAAGATAGGGTTTCTCTGTAGCTTTGTGACTTCTGGAACTCTGTAGACCAGGCTGGCCTCAAACTCACAGAGATCTGCCTGCCTCTGCCTCATGAGTGCTGGGATTAAAGGTGTGTGCCACCACCACCCAGCTTTACAAAGACTTCTTAAGCCATGGCTTGACCTTCAGAAAAATCCTTGACTTTTCCAAGTAGTAGCTTTTGTGATAGTAGCTGAATTCCATTTTGTTCTCCTGTGGCTAGCAGCAGCACATCATGGCAAAGATGTGTACACACAAACAGTTCCAACACTTTTACATGGATGTAAGTAACAAAGCAGAACAAAATTACCTAGTTACTGAGAACAAATGAAAAAGGTTTTCAGTTTTAATTATTAATTATAGAATTTCAAGAAGTATTACTGTTCATTAAAAACTGATGGTTCTTTTTTAAATCTTATTTAATCGTTAAATTCTCTGATCCAAAGATAGGTCATTTTAAAAACATTCCTCAGTTGAGCTTAGAGTTGGATGCCTGTAATCCCAGTATTTGGGAGATAGTCTGCTTCCCTGATGCCTGCACAACCTTCAGTTAGGAGCCCAGAATTGTGGTGACTCCAGATGACATGCAGGTTCTCAGGAAATTTTGAGACTTAAACAGAAGTCACTCCAAGGGTAGGGCACTCAGGAAATTCCCAAGAGCTGTGTAATATGAAGAATTTTTTAGGGAGGGAGCTTTGGGTGTAACAACCAAAAGATCAAATGTTCAGAGAGCAATGCTTGAGGAGTACCTGGGGACAAGCTGACTCCTACTGTGTTCTCTATATTTACTCATCTCTGGTGGATTAGCCATGTCCAGGTCTTCCACTCTTTCCTTTTTTGGCAACTACATGTACCTATCAATGACAGTACCCTGTATCCCCCACATTTTGGCCCCCATTTGGACTTTAAGACTCCTCAGTTCCTAAACTGATATTCCTGTAACATGCCTGCATGGTAAAAATAAGGATAATCTAGAGAGAGATTTATATCATTTCCTTTGCTAACACCTAGCAAAATAGCGGAACCCATAATATTCCAATTTCACTGGGAATCTCGTGGTGGAAAAAGACTTGAGTTTTCAGGATGAGAATGTCTCTACTGAAGAAACATTTACTCCTTATCTGACCACATAGCAAGAGAGACACAAGTTGAAAATTGGGGAGGGTTTTAGAGATGGGAAAAATTAATTATTAGCTTTATTAAATTACTTATTTTTGCTTATCTCTTGCCTTCTATCTAAACCTCTTAGGACCCCAAGGATTAGTTACCTTGTAATTCCATCACTGTTCCAAATTAGTAAAACTGAATAAATATCATGTTTTCAGTGTTCATTAATAATGTGCTTTTTCTTTCAAATCTTCTTTCTCTCTTCCTTCCTTTCTATCTTCCTTTTTTATTTTAAAGAATAGTCTTACTATGAATCCCTGGTTGACCTGGAACTCACTCTAAACATTAATTTGTCATAGAACATCAGATCTTGGACATTTTGTGTTATAATTTTTTTGGCATTGGTATTTTCTTTGACTGACGAATCTATTTCCTCTATTGTATCCTCTACACCAAAGATCCTCTCTTCCATCTCTTGTATTCTGTTGGTTATGCTTGCATCTGTTTTTTCATGTTTGTTTACTCAGATTTTCTATTTCCAGCATTCCCTCTGTTTGTGTCTTCTTCATTGTTTCTATTTCCCTTTTCAGGTCTTGAACTGTTCCCCTTACCTGTTTCATTGCTTTTTCATGGTTTTCTTATAGGGATTTATTGCTTTCTTCTGCTTTGTCTTTTCCTCTAGTTTTTTATAGAGTTCTTCCCATTTTTTGTTTGACTTTTCATTTTCTTTATTGATATCCTCCACATTTTTGTTTATCTTTTCCTCAATTTCATTTTTGATTTTTTTCTTTAAAGGTCTCTAGCATCTTCATGATGCTCTTCTTAAGGTTGCTTTCTTCTGCTTCTTCCACTTTGTGATGTTCATGTCTTGCTGTTAGAGGAGGGCTAGGTTCTGGTGATGCTGTATTGCTCTTTATGTTGTTGTATGTACTTCTGCCTTGATGTCTGCCCATCTCCTCATGGATGCATTTTTGGTCTTATTAGGCCTCTTGGTCCATCAGAGCTGACATATTCGGTGTTTCAGGAAGCCTCTCTTGGTCCAATGAGAGGTGGCAGATTCTACTTCTCAGAAAGCCACTCTTGTGCCCCGGCCAGCAGGGCTTCAATGGGAACTCGACCACCCTAAGGACAGAATGATAGGGACAAGAGACACAAAGGAATACACCAAGACAAGATTCTGATCAAGGTGCAACTTTCTTTTTCTCCAGGAGGGTTTATATAGTTCCTGCAGGGTGTGTGTGGGGGAGTAGGAAGCTGTTATCTGCATAGGGTGGGGCAAGCTAGCAGGATGTTTATGCAGGATATTGATAGGGTGAAAAGGTCAAAGGCTCTGACTCAATGTCCTGTTGCTAGGCAACCTGACTGTAAGTTGTTCTAGTTCACTGACGTATCGGGTGTCTGTAATTTTCTATTAACTAGAGATTCTGTCCTTGTCCCTGACACTCTTGGTCTAATCAGGGCTGGCAGATTCCCTCTTTCCTAAGTTTACTCTTGGTCCAATGATGGCTCTTTGTCTAATGAGAGCTCTCTCTTTCTCTGGGCCAGGTGGGAGCTCTCTGGGCCTGATTAGAGCTCTCTGGGCCAGATGGGAGCTCTCTGGGCCAGATGAGAGCTCAGGGCTGGTCTCTAAGTCTCAGAAAATGGCGGGACTCTTGGGTGGATGGTTGTGGGGGCAGGGCATATAGATTGCAGGGTCCACTGGGGGGGTGTCTTGGAGAAAGGGAACCTTCCTGAGGAAGCCCTGCCCACTGGCTGGCAAATGGGGCCAAGTTGGGAGGGTCTTACCTGGGAATGGCTGGGCCCGGGGATGGGACTTAGGGGCAGGCCTCCCTGGGTATGACCCCAGACACTCACCTCTGGTCCGGATGGGAGCTTTGGTCCAGATGGGAGCTGGGGGCTGGTCTCCAATTCTCAGCAAGTTGTTGGTGTGGGGGGGTCTTGGACGGATTGGTGTGGGGGCAGGGCATGTAGATTGCAGGGTCTACTGGGAGGTCTTGGAGAAGGGGAACCTGCCCTTGGGAGCCCTGCCCACTGGCCGGCAACTGGGGCCTAGTTGGTCCATAGCACACGCCCTTAATCCAGTCACATGCCAGGCAGAGTCTCTGTGTGGTCAAGGACACAGCCAATCGTGGTGACACAAGCCTTTAATCCCAGTACCAACCATAGAGACCTGGAGG